AGATGTTCAGGACTCACCTGAACAAGGCCCTGAGCAACCTGATCTAGCTTTGGGGTTAGCTCTGCTGTGAGCAGGGGGTTGGACTAGGTGATCCAGAGATCAAAATGGTAGTCGAAGGAAGGGTAGAGGAAGAGGTTATGCATGCAGCTTCTTTTCCCCCCTGTAGTCCCTAAGCCTCTATTTGCAGCTACTTGCAGAGTCAACCCTCAAATCCATAACAAATTTAGCATCCTTTGGCAAGGAGTTCCACTGCTCAGCCACAGAAACACCCCCCTCCTTTGGCTTGCTTATAACCTGCTCCCTGCCTCATTTTTATTAACATCTGGTTGTTGTAAAGAAAGAAAAATCAATGACTGATTCCTATTCACCCCCTCCAAGCTGCTCATGATATGGACCCATAACGTCCATACCCTTCCTCAGCTCTTTGCCAGGCTGAAGACTCCAATCCTATTTAGGCGTTCTTCCTACAGAGCTTTTCTACACCTCTGATCGCCTTTGCTGTCCCTCTCTGAGATGTTTCCAACTCTGGTGTATTGTTCTGGAGATAAGGGTGAAGGGTGGCACAGAACTGCAGTGATGCTGCAGTCACTGATGCTGGTGAGACATGGACATATATGTGTATATATATATGTATACAGGCACAGTGATGATTTCTGCTATTTGTTCACCACAACCAAGCATTAAGCTAACAATTGCATGGGCTTATACATGATCACAGTCTTACTCCAGAGAGGTTACGATTAGCTCACAGTTCATTGTTTTATATGTAAATTTTGAATTATTTTTCTCCATGAACATTGTTTTACCTGTGCCTATATTTATATTTCATCTGCTTTTCTATTGCCCATTCATTCACTATCATGAGGCCCTTCTGCAATTATTCACAGTCAGCTCCCACCCTATTATCCTGAATAACTTTCTACCATCAGCCAATTTTCTCACCTCACCCTACAAGCTCTATTTCCAGGTCATTTGGGAATATACTGAACAGCGTATATTTCAGGTTAGGCCCCTGTGATCTCATCGCTGATGACTTCCCTTTGCTGTAAAAACTGGATGTTTGTTCCCACCTTCCGTTTCCTATTTTCTACTAATTCTTTACCCAAGAAAAACCTCATCTTCTTTCTTATGTCATGACTTTAGCTTTATTTAAAGACTTTGATGAGAAAATCTTGTAAAATCATTTTTTAGAAATCCAAGGAAACTGTATCAGCCAGACCTGCCTTATCCACAAGCTTGCTAAGTCCCTCAAAAACCTCCAGTTTTACAAGACGGGATTTGCCTTTACAAAAGCAGATGCTGATTCTTTAATATCACACTTGTTGCTTTCTGTTATACTGTCTACCCTCTTGCCCAGATATCAACTTTATTGTTCTGTGCCTCCCTCGCATTTGGGGGATCTCATTTGGAGCCCTTTTTGAGAATCAAGCGTTGCATTTGTTACTTCTAATTCTCAGCACTGAGATGACTTTAGACAGGAAGTTTTGCCACTTTGCACAGAACTGCATCGTAGTTCGGTTGTTAGTGCAGAGTGAAGGCCACCTGGGCTTGGGGAATGGGCAGATGGACCATCTTCCTGCGGCTTGCCCAAGCCAGGTGCTCTCTGTCAGGCCACGGGACCCCAGGACAGCGCTGGACCATCGTGGTTGCCCAGATCCTTACCATAGAGTAATGCTAGTGCGAATCCCATTTCCTTACACCATGCCACTGTAGTCCCTAGAGCAGAGCACCCGTTCGGACTGACTGTGAAGGTTTTCTGTCCTGCTGTTCCACAGAGGGCTAGAAAAGACTGTAAGCAAATCAAGAAATAACCAGGATTTAAAAGGTCAGCCACCTGACCTCTCTCTGTACAAAAACATTCAGAGATACTGCAGCTGCAGGGCTGGAAGAGTAACTGTAACGGACTGGGCATTGCAATTGTTTGCTCTTTATCAAAGTGAGAAGGAGCAAAGGTAAAAGCAGTAACAATCTAACCCACCCTGAACTCCAGCCCTCCAGCTATCCCGTAGCTCCTATTAGAAGGTGTTTTTTTTCCCTTCTGTGCCCGATTCCTACTGCCAGTATTTTTATTTTTCTCACCAACAACTCTTGTTTTCTTCCCCTAACTAGCATTCACAGCACTCACCCACAGGATGGCATCAGGATCTGGACCCTCAGATCCCCACTGATGGAGGACTGACAGCAGCTGGTGGAGGAAGTACCACAGCCCTTAACCAGGGGGTCCTACTAAAGAAAATAAAACAGTATTGGAATTATCAAGACAGTGTCTTGAGACGGACTTGGGAGAGAGATCAAAGACCTTGACAGAGGAGGGGCGGACTCGCACCCTCCCGACAGGGCTGGATGCTCATGGCGGTGAGTGCCACAGCTCTGGAGGAGCAACTGGCAGCGCTTGGGGGCTGCGACACCTCCCGTGACCCACCTGTGTCTGATCCACACCGGCACAATCCAGCCCGTTCCTGGGCGGACTAAGAAGGTGGTAGCTCCAGGTCAGGCAAACCGCAGGCCTCAAGCAGAGGCCTTAATTTTCACCATTTGCAAAGCACTTCCTGGGCTGTAGTTAATGAATAATTAGAGGGGTGGGGGAAGGCCAAGGCCAAGCTGGGAGAGGTGGATGGAGACGGAAGGGACTGACTGCTCTTCCTGCCTCCAATCCACTAAGCTTACGCCCTCGCTGGCTACATTCCTGCCTGGTTTGTAACCGAAAGGCACAGAAGGCAAAACCAGACGCAGCTCTCTCACACCCGGCTCGCAGCTCCCTGCTCTCCCTGGCCTGGCTTCTTTAGCCCCAGCCCTGCCACCCATCGCCCTCCCCGAAGACCTCAACGCTTCCAAGGGCAACAGGCACACGGGCCAGGAGGCCACAAGCAGACATATCCGATGCCCCTTCGTTTGAATCGAGACGGAAACACAAAACGTCACACTGGAGCGAGGCTGCTCCGCTAGGTTTGTCTCTCTTCAGTCCCAGAAGACGCGCGATAGTTTTACATCATTTTTGTTGCTCTAATCCGGGTTGCAGCCAAATGGGCAAGCCCAGCCCTCCCATACCGCGCCACTCCCTGCTGCATCCCTCTGCTGCTTTCTTCATTAGGGCTGACGTGTTTGATTGCACATTCAACTGGAAAACAATGCAGCCACAGGCACTGGTGGTAGGAGTGAGCTAGCAGCACCAACCCTGCTGGGGACAGGGGTCTCAGCGGCATTTAATGGCCCTTGCTGAACAGTGCTAGATTATGTTTAGGGACACATTACCTAGTGTGTTTCAAATAGCACATTTGTAAATGCTTGCTCTTAGACAGGGCTGAAATGCTAGACACCTCTGAAATGTTAAAAAAGTCACTCTGATATCAAGTCCTAGGGCTTCGCACCACGGCTTGTATAAGCAATTACCTTTTTGCAGAACTTGGTACGTACTGCGCCCCCCAAAACACCAGCACAGGTTTCATCAAGAATGAGGTGGGCACTGCTGTAACTGCCTCTGCACCAGGGAGAAGCATCTGTGCCTGAGGAGCACCGCTGAGCTCACCTTCATCCATAAAACAAGGGCATTTTCAAGGCATTTTTTATTCACGAGCAGACACAAGCACGCACAAAGCATCACGTTTCTTTCAGGTCAGCATCTCCCTTGTTGAAGTTCTCCATTCCCGGGGCTGACAGCCCCCGCCAGAGCACCCGTGACCCGGTGGGGCAGGAGAGGTCCACGGTCTCAGGAGGTTGCCACTCCACCGGTCCCGGCCCCGTGCGGCGGCAGCGTCATGGGCGGCAGGAACATGGCCTTGAGCTTGCCCGACATGCTGGCGATCTCCGGGTCCTGCGACTCGTAGGACTTGATCAGCCGGGCGAACTTCAGGACCCCTGCAAGAGAAGCGGTGGGAAGGAGGCACCCGCCCGCCGCCGCCCCATTGGCGGGCCCGGAGCTCCCCGCCCGAGGGGGGACAACCCACCCTCGCCGTCGGTGCGTAGGCTTTGATCACGTCCTGCTGGATCTGGGTGGCCACGGGCAGGAGGAACTGCAGCATCTTGCCCATGTCGTTGCAGGCGTTGTCCCGAGCCTCCTCCATGCGCTGCGCGTTCTCGGGCGCCCCGAACGCCTTGATC